AATGACAATAACCTAGTTGCTAAAGGTATTGGTGATGTTCTGATCATGAGGAAAGATGGAAATTGATCAGTAATTTGCAATTTATTGTACATACCAGACATGAAAAGCAATTTGCTCAGCTTAAGGCAACTGATCGAGAAGAATTACAAAGTATTGATAAAAAAAATAAGATGATGAGAGTACTCAACTCAAGTTGTAAGTTAATCTTGAAGGAATCTATGTCTCAAAACAGGACCTTCAAGATTGAACTCGATGTGATGGAGCACAAGTGTATGGCAATTGCATCTAGCATGGATGAATGGCTATGACACTACAGGCTTGGCCTTCTTAACTTCAAAGACATCAAAAAGCTAAAGAGAAGAAATATGGTTTCAGGTTTACTAGAAACCAACATTCCAAATGAAACATGTGAAGAATGTGTTTAAGAAAAATAATAGAAGAACAACTCCAGCAAAGATGTAGGAAGTAAGTCGAAAGCAACCCTTGAGATCATATACTAAGATATGTGGGGTCCTCTTCAGGTAGATTAAATTGGATGTAACAAGTACTTTGTTATGTTCATAGATGATGTCACTTAAAAATTATGGACATACCTAATCAAAAAGGAAAGTGATGTGATTGAGGTATTCGTCAAGTTTAAAGCTATGATGGAGATACAAAATAGCCACAAGATCAAGACTTTAGGACTGATGGTGGTGGGGAATATGTGTCAAAAGACTTTGAAGCATTATGTGAAAGAGAAAAGGTTGTGCATGAGGTGGTGTCACCCTATACTCCACAACAAAATGGTACTACTGAAAGAAAGAATGAAACCATCATGAATATGGTAAGAAGTATGTTAAAAGGTAGGCATTCACCAAATGAGTTATGGGGTGAAGTTGTGTCGACTAAAACATACATCTTAAACATATGTCCAACAAAGAAGCTAGAGGGAATCCCACCAGAAGAATGTTGGTCTGGTGTTAAGCCTAGCTTAAGTCATATGAAAGTGTTTGGATTCATAACACATAGACATGTGCCTAATTAGTTGAGAAGGAAACTTGACAACAAATCGAGCTAGATGATCCTGATAGGATATAACTCGAATAGTGGATACAAACTGTTTGTTCCCTTGAACAAGCAAATTATAATCAGTAGAGATGTGGTCATAGATGATATGAAGGAGTGGGATTGGAATGACAATGTTAAGAAGGATTCAGTGAGAACTATATGTGAAGAACTAGCTAGTGAAGCTGGCACTGGAATTTGACCAAAAGGAAGTGAAGCTCAAGCAGGCACAAGTAGACCTCAAAGGACAAGAAACTTGTCTGCAAGGTTGGAGGAATGTGTGATCACATCAGATGATATGGTAAAGGATGAAGGTGAGCTGGTACGCTATGCTTTTTATACAGATACTAAACCAGTCAATGTAACTGAGGAATTGAAGGACTCTAAGTGGATGCAAGCCATGATGGAGGAACTAAAGTCAATAAAAGTAAATAAAACCTAGTCACTAGTTGAATTGCCACAAGATAAGAAGGAAATTGATGTGAATTAGAATTACAAAATGAATATAAATCCAAAAGGAGAAGTAATTATACACAAAGTAAGACTTGTATCCCAAGGATTTCTTTAGAGAGAATGAATCGACTTTGATGAAGTTCTTGCATCAGTTGCTAGGATCGAAACAATTAGGTTGATTCTTGGCCTAAAAAACATGAAAAACTAGTATATGTGCAAATGGATGTGAAATGTGCATTTTTGAATGGCCACTTAGATGATGCAGTTTATTTAGCACAACCAGTTGGTTTTGTGAAGCAATGCCAAGAAAGCATAATATACAGGTTGCACAAAATCTTGTATGGATTCAAACAAGCTCTAAGAGTTTGAAATAAGAAGATAGATAGCTTTCTAAGGGAGAAAGAGTTTATAAAGTGCACAACAGAGCATGGAGTATATGCTAGGAGAAGCAGTGGTGAACTACTTATACTATGCCTCTATGCCGATGACCTATTGATAACCGATGACTGTAAGAAGAAGATAGAAGATTTTAAAAGTGACCTAAGCAAGGAATTTGAAATGTCTGACCTAGGCAACATTTCATATTTCCTTGGCATCAAACTTTATAAGAGTAGTAGAGTATTGATGTTGCACCAAATAAGATACGCATGTGAAATACTCAAAAGATTTGAGATGGATGCACTACTACAAAATACACCTTCGATAACATAACACTACTACGAATATGCCTTCCCCCATTGTAATATCGCAAACTAGAAGCGCCTAATGCTTTATTATTTTTTTGAGTTATTTAATCACAGTTGATATAAACAACCATGGTGATAAAGCGAGTGCTACAAGGTTTGAATCCTGACAACTCCTTTTTTCCATTAAAGTGCGTGTCACTTAATTTCATAAATAAATAAATAATTGAAAATTATTTAATCACGGTTTTAATATTCAACCATTGTAGTATGATTTGTACACCATTTTCTCTTCCTAAAAGAAAGAAAGCTTTTTCCAAAAGAGAGAAACGACTATAATGATGATTGAAATTTTTCTTTATTTCTCAAGACGGTCACAAGTCATTCAAGAATATCAACCATTAGAAGTAATCATTGCAAGGATTAAATCATCGGGTGTTTCATCTTCAACCTCTTCTATAAATGCACAATTTCATATAATAAATTTTCACTTTTTCAGACTATTCTTCTTAACTTCCTATAGCAACATGAGTTCTTCATCTGAGATTGCTAACAAAAATATGTCAACTGAAGTCACCACAGTCCAACAACATCAGCAGTCAACTGAGAAGGTCCAACCATCTGGATCGACTGCTGTCAAGGATACACTGAGGGTGAGAAAGGCCAAGAAGAAGAAGAAAAATGTGTCGAGAAAGATTTTTTTCTATAATTTTGATGAGGGTAGTGAGAAGCGAGTCATAGATTATGAAGATTCCTTTAGTGTTAGGGGATATTGTTCCGATCTTGACAAAATTATGTAATGAAAAAATTATGTTTTATATACTCTTTCTTTTTGGTCCTCTTAATGAACTTATTTATTAGTATTGTTTTATATACTCTTGCCTTTATACACTCTTTCCTCTTTACAAAAAAAATAGTACAAACCAACAGAAATAACAACAACAATAACAACTGTAATAAAGAATAACAATAACAACAATTAAAAACTCTCTCACCATTGCGTTTATAAATAAATAAAAAATTAAAAGTTATTTAACCACGGTTTTACAATACAACTGTTGTAAAATTGGAAAATTGCATCATGGTTTTACAATATAAGCGAAAGTATCTATCGTTCAATACATAGCAGTCGTTTCTCTCAAAAGAAAACCCAAACATATTTCACTCTTCTCTCTCATAACATAAACCTAACATCCATGTCACTCTTTAAACATACTTTAACCTTCAGATCTGTCTTCACCAATCATTAACTTGAGGTTCGTTCATTAAACTTATGCTTCGATTTTGTTTACGTTTCTTGTTAAAAATGGGTTCTCATTTTTTCATTTGGTGAATGTTCTCATTTTTTCAAATTCGTCTTTACCACCTTAACAAAGCGCATACTTTGCCTATGATACATATGGTTTGTGTAGCTATAAAAAAAATAAAAGAATTCGATATAAGTTGGTTTTCAAATACAAGTTAGTTTTCTATCAATTTTTCCAAGAGTTCGATAGCACATGGAAGAAGCAAACACATTGAGATGATATTCCATTATCTTAGAGAGCAAGTATCAAATAGAAAGTTGAATCTGGAATACTGCAGAACTGAGAATCAAATTGAAGATATCATGACGAACATTGTGCAAGTGGAATTGTTCAAGAGATTAAGAACTATGATGAATGTAGATAGTTTAGACACAATGAATTATTTGGTGTGTTAAATGTGTAATTCTTTGTGTTAAGCATGTTTGTAAAGTATAGGAGTCGACTGAGTCAAAGTCAAATATGTTTTATAGAGAAGTACTTGAATATGCATGTATTCGTCAGAAGATCAAATACAGCTTATAGGAGAAGGAGATGCATGTATTCCACAGAGTCGAATACAAGTAATCAAAGTCGAAGTAGTTGGTATTCGACAGAGTTGGATAACAATTTGTTGAAGCTAGTTAGTTAGTTTAAAATTGTTTGATATGTAAGCAATTTCATTATAAATAGGGATGCATCATAGATTTGTTGTACGCACGATTTTTCATTCAATAATATTTTCTTCTTGTTTTCTCCAAAATTATAATTTCCTCTCTTAAATTATTTCTCCACTTCAAATTTTTATGCGACGGAATTATCCTACAATTAAGGTGTAGTTGAATCACTTGAGTGAAGAATGAAAAATAAAAAATTTAAATCAATAAAAAAATAATTGAATTTTTTTTCATCAAAATCGATTCCAACAATTAAACGGCACATGAAATATTTTCCTTAGATAAATTACATGAAGAGATTTTCCATAGATAAATTACACGAAAGTGTTCTTTTATTTTAAAGAAACAATTTTCAAAATCATCCCTTAATGATTAGTTTGTGTGACAAAAGCCACCTTAGTGAATTAGTGCTACAAATCATTAAATTGTGAACAAATGTCTCGATGCTTCATGAATTAATAATAAACCACAACGTAAAATAGTAAACAAGAAATGAGAACATCACAATCGTTCATTTTTCTATCTCCCCCTCACAAAAAGGTGATGGGCCTCAAAACCCACTAATTCCATTACCCATCAATTCAGTACACAACTTGTTGTTCACACTTAAAATCAAGAGAATATGATTCATTCCCCCACCTCCACCTTACCCTCCAATTCCAAAGGCTCATAAGTCATAATTAAACAAATCATCACAACAAACCACAATCAAACTTGCAACAAATGATTGAATTGCTTATTACTTTATACACAATTTAACTAACAATGTTTTAACACTACACTAATTCAACAATTTTGACAACCGTATATCTCTAATTATATTCTCTTAAAAAGTAAGATAAGGTTACAAACTAAAATCAATGAAACACTAAAACATTAAAAATAAAACCAACCACCAACAACAAAGAAACCATTGAAGTTCTACTTATCGTAGAAGCATCAGACGCCGTAGCCATATAAGCCATCCACGAAGCTGAAGCCAGTTCTGATTGCTCCGAGCCACTCTCCGAACCTGTATTACCCGTTTCCTTCGTATTATTAGAACCAGAATCCGAATCCGTAGCTGACTTTAAACTATATACAAAAATAACAAAAAAAAATTAGTAATTTTTTATTATAAACTATACTATACTATAGACTAAAATAATTTAATGTAATTGAATTGAATTGGATTAAATTAAATTACCTAGGTGTAGAAGAAGGACAAAATGTGATTGTATAATCAGCACCAGAACAAGTAAAAGTGCTAGTTGCATCATCATAAGCGTAGCTATAAGATTTAGGACACGCCGATTTAAACATTTCTGAATAAACAGAAGGCTTACACGTGTCCGGGTTACTAAACGCACCGTTACAACAATACTCCGCTTTCCCAAACGCGCCACAAGCACTATTACACGCGCCACCGTTTGCGGTTCTTAATTCAGATGGACACTTCTTATTGATATCCGTACTACACCCTGTGACGGCGCATGTCCCTGTACCGCCGCTCGTGGTTACCAGCATCGGGAGATTGTAACCGTCGACGAGGCTTACGTCGTAGAAATCCAACGAACCGGTTCCGAGTGTGAATTCAGCGAGTGTTGCTGGCGGTGAAGCTGTTGCGCCGTTGCAGGAGATTTCGCCGGAGCCGCAGTCGGCGGTGGAGCATGTTCCGTGGCCGGAGTCGTCGAATTGACAACCGGTTCTTGCCCAGAATCTACCGGACCAGCCGGTGGGTGCTTGGAAGCTTCTGGATGTTCCTTTTGGGAGCTGGAAACCGGTTGTTCCAAGTTCCGGTTTTCCGTAAATTCCTGGCCATACTGTGTAATCGCATTTATTCAGAAACGTAAATGTTGCTGCTGAAACTAAAACACCTTCATATAAAAAACCAGAGTCAGTTTCCTGAATATAGTATGTTTTTAAGGTTGTTAAAAATTATAGAATTTTACCTTTGAAAACAAGGAAGAGTAAGAAGCATAAGATGAGTTGAAGATAATGTTGGTTATTTAAGAATAGACCCATAGAATATATGCTTTAGTATAGTAAATTAAATACTAGTACTATAGTATAGTATATATTATCACTCTTGAAAAAGAGTGAAGAAAAAGGGAGGAGGATAAGGAGAGAGTGGTGGGGGAATCTGAAAGGTAGAAGGTGCATCGCTATTTATAGAGAGTTGATAAGGAAAAGTGAATAGAAGAATGACAATGAGAAAAACAGAGTGGGGCTGGGAGGTGAAAAGATTTTTGGACCTTGGTTTCTTGTTGGTAAGTGATAGTGGTGTTAATTTTTAAAATAAGAAAAATAGAGGGGGAAGAAAACAAAAATGGTAGTGTCGGTCAAAATATCTGGTGCTATGTAATGATTTAGTGTTGTTGAAAGTGGGATGTGGCTCAATACGATTGGCTGACTTGATTTAAATATCTATTGTTTTTGCAATATGTAATATAAAATAAAAATATATGCATCTCAAAATATCTATTGTCTTTATTTAATGTGTTTTGACACAAGTTTAATTTTATTTTTATATTTTAGATAGTATTTAGATCGATTGAATGACATAAAATGAAATGAAAAAACTCAAGTTTGATTGGATATAAAAATCAAAACCATATTTTTCAATCGATTTTAAATTTGATTACAGTTTAAAAAATAAAAACAAATATTCTTTTTATTCTTTTATATATATATATATATATATATATATATATATATATATATATATATATATATATATATATATATATATATATATATATATATATATATATATATATATATATATATATATATATATATATATATATATATATATATATATATATATATATATATATATATATATATATATATATATATATATATATTCGCTGCCACCATTATTATCTCTTTCATAAGAATACACACTTTCTAATTAAAATTATAAAAGATAAAACATGAATTTATGGTATATTGGAAACCCTTACAAATAGTTTGATTTTGCCATAGTCACCAATGATCATTTTTTTTTGTATCATGTCTAACCAAAGTGCTTGATATGATGCATAAGAGGCTTTAACATACCATGTTTCACATGAAGACAAAACAACAATCTCTTGCTTCTTTGAACTCCAAGAAACTGATGTTGATCCAAGTATGAACAGATAGTCAATTGTACTTTTCTTGTCATCTTGAACACTACTTCAATCTGAGTCTGAATAACCACATACCCTTGCTCCAATTCTGGTTGTTTGATGAGGAATTAGCATTCCATGATCTGATGTGCCTTTAATGTATCTTAGGATTCTTTTTGTTGCAAGTAGATGGCATAACCTTGGTTTCCCCATGAATCTACTCGCTAATCCAACACTTTGACAAATTTCAGGTCTTGTGTTGCATAAATACCTTAAAGATGATCTGCTTATACCATGTGCTATCAACTAATTCTTCTTTAGATTCCTTCTTCAACTTTATGTTGGCCTCTATTGGTGTGATAGCAAGGTTGCAGCTATGCATCTTAAATTTCTTTAAGATGTCTTATGCATATTTCTTTTGATGCAAGAAAGTGTCTTGTTTGGTTTCCATGATTTCCATTTCTAGAAAATATGTCAACTTTTTTAGGTCAGACATTTCAAACTCACTCTTCATGCTTGCTTTAAGCTTTGTCAATTCTTCTTAGTTTGGACCTATAGCCAATAAGCCATCTACATAAAGACATATAATAATTTGGTCTTGTTCATTTGAGCATTTGACATAAACACCATGTTCTGATGTGCATTTGTTGAAACCTAGATTTATCAAGAAGCTATCAATTATCGTATTACAAGCCCTAGTGTTGCACCCCAAAATTTGCCCAACTTTTCTTTACCTAGCTTGTGTTTCATTGCATTCATATTAGCATTATCATCTGCATTGCATTGACATGTGTGCAGGAGATCAAGAGGTATGACTACCAACCAATGGCTACACAAGGTTATGAAGTTATCTAAAGAGGTTTATTCAAATATTCAAGGGTTGATATCCTCACTAGAGAAGCCAAAGATTCTCAGAGAGAGTGGTTGAAGCCAAGTGTGTATGTCTCCTAACTTGAAAGTTGTGGGAAGTTATTCAGATGATTCTGAATCCAGGGAGTTGGACTTGAAGCCTTAAGAGAGCTCATGAGAAGTATTGAAGTTCATTTTGAAGCCTAGACAGGTCATTATGCAAAGGATATGAAGCTACCACCAAGATTGGTGCAACTAGGGTTTTCATCTGGTCAACCCTGGGTCAACTAATGATTTGAAGAAGGTTGAGACCTAAGTGCAAGGCCATGTGATCATGGAGTGATGTATTAAGATGCCCAAGGTATGATTCCAAGGTCAACTTATCATGAATCAAGAGTGTGAGGAGTTCCTAAGCTAGGGTTGCTATGCTTGACAGTGTAAAATCCCCTAGTTTAGTGCCTAACTTCAATACCATATAACTCAAGATGTGATTTTCATATCACCTTGACCCTAACATGATTGTTGTAGAGCATGATCACAACTTTAATTTGAGTAGTAGAAGTCCTTGGTAGGGTTTATAGAACTCAAGTTATGAGCCAGACAAGTTACAGGTCCTCAGAGGAGTGTGAATTTGGAGCTTGAAAGTCAACCAACTTGCATGACACTTTTGCCCTAGAAAGATGATTATTATGAACTTTTGGCCAACATGAATGTTATTCCTTATCTTCTTAGCTTTCTAGAAAGTACTAGAAGTCCATGATTGGATTTATAGAACTCAAGTTATGAGCTTTACAAGATAAGGGTATTTTGGGAATTTGGAATTATAGGCCATTTTTTATTATGGGTCAATTTCATCAACTTAGACACCTCAGATGAAATTTTGTCCAACTTAAAAGTTGTTTAAAATGATGTTATTTGTATAACCATGCACCAAGAATCCATTGATATGGGTTAGAATGAGAAATGCTTGAAGGAAAATTCATGAATGAATCATTAAAGGAAGCTTGGAAAGGGCCAATTCAAGTCAATTCATTTTTGAACCAAAGCATGTCATATTTGTGCTTGTTTTGAGTCCAAATGATGTTTTAAGAACATTGGAAAAATTACAAATCAAGTTTGAAGCCATTTACATGTGGAAATTCATGGTTTCTTCATCTTTAAGCAACAAATGTAAAATCAACCATCCATTCATTTCCAAGGGATCAATCTCATCCACACATGATCCTTGCATCATAAGGAACTGATATGAACAGAATTGGAAGCTTACACACACCATGTTCATGGAAATTATAAAGGAAAAAGTGAGAAAAATCAGAAAATTGGATTGAGTGAATTTGCCCATAACTGGGCCAGATAAGGATCCAAAACAACTCTATATAAGTTTCTGGATGAATTCATAGCAAGGTTGGTGATTGGAAGAGCAAGAGGAGGTAAGAAGCACTTGAAAATAGTTTGTTAGAGGTGAAAATTGAATTTCTACTTTGAATCCATTTCAGAGGGAATTAAGGATTCAAGAAGCTTCTCTAAGCATCATTAAACGATTTTGAACAACTTTGATCAAGAATTCGTGCAAGAGCACTCCACCATTGAAGCTCCGAACAAGGTTCTTATTTCTCATCCATACGCTCTGTTCTTGATGAGTTATTGCGCCATTTTCACATGATTGTGATCCTTAGAGTATGTAGAACGTTTTAGGATTAGAATGGTTAAGTTTCATGACAATTCTTGATAGAGCACCTTAGGTTGTAGTTCGAATATCTCTCTAATTATTGGATGAAAATGGAAAAGAAACATAGATTATTGATGTAGGAAGTGAGAGGAAGAGTTTAGTGGCTTCAATTTTGGATTTTGAGAAAATTGATAATTCTTGAGTGATTCTTGAAGGTTTATGATTTCTGAGTTTTAATGGAGGAAAGTGAAAACAAATTTGATATTTGAATTCTACACGAAAAATAACACAGTTTTGGTTAAAGAAAAACTAGTTTTGGTTAAGAAATGAGAAAATGCCATTGTTGACATGATTAAGAAGATGACCGGAGCTCATCTCCGGCCACCGTCCGTTCGCAGCCCCACCGTGCCGGTGACTTTACCTTCGTTTCCGTTTGAATGCCTAGGACGCACAACCATCGTCCGATTGCCTTGAGTGCTTGACTCGGTATGGCGATCTAACGGCCCAAAGCGCGTTTCCGCGTGGCCCCTCCCCTCCATACAAAACGTTGTGTTTTGTTTAGTAACCCCATTGGGCCCAGCGCGCGTTCGCTTCCAGCACCCCCCCTTCGCAGCCCAATAATGAATACACACGCGCGAATAGTACTAAGTGCACCCCTTGGCCCGTGTTCCCTTTAATTTCATTTTTTCTCTTTATTTCATTTGATTGCTTGTTCATATTAATTCAGAAAAAATGATAAATGATGTCCATAAATCATGAGAAAAATATTGTAGATAGTTTGACATGTCTAGAATTTTGCCATATTTTTTAATTGCAATTTTAATTCTTTTTCCAATTAATTTTGTATTTTTCTTTTATGTGATTTTCCATGAATAGAAATAATGCCATGTTGGTTTCTAGATTTTTGTTTCCATATCAATGCTTGGATTTAATCTCTGATTTTTTTACATGGTGAATGTTGATACATTGTAGGATATTGTATGATTTTTCTTACATTTTTTAGATGATTCTAAGTATGGTTTTGAGATAGGTTTTAGGACTTCCCCCTTATGATTTCCTTTTAGCATACCTTAAAATGAAGAAATTGTTTAGGACCTTTTGATTTAGGTTTTGACCCTGAATTTTCTACCATAGATTCTTAACACATTTAGGATCATCTAGGATTTTTCTTAGGGTTTTTACAATTGATTTTCTATTATTCCCCTATTTTACAAGTTAATGATGTTTAGGTGATCCTAATCTAGCTTTCCCCTTAGTTTAGACTTAAAGGTGAACCTTTAGCTAACTTTAAGCTTTTAATTGCTCCTTGATAGGATCAAGCTTAGGTTGAGACCTACTAAGAACCTAGATTAGGCCTTGATAGAGCCTTGAATCCCTTTTAGTTTAGGTGA